GTCTCTGTTCCTCTCCGGTCACCTCCGCTGCCTCTGAAATCCCGAGGGAAGCACCTCTTCCCAGCCCCACGGAAGCGTCCGGCAAGGAGGGCACGGCCGCTTACGAGGAAGCTGACATAAAGCCTTAGTTTCAATAAAACATGAAGTTTCCCTGACTTTCTAGGCCGGCGGTTTGCCTGAAGGTGCTCATATATATTTGTGACCCACCCGGCGCGACCGTGGGCTGGAGCGCGTTGCCTGCCTCTCTCAGCTCCTCCGCCAGCGCCGACCTCGCGTGCCCTGACACCGTCGGCCGAGCCAGGTAATCCGCGGACGCGCGCTGGGCAGCCCAGTGTATTTTCACCTCTTTACCTATCGAACGAGGAAAGAAGCCAGCAGGTATCAGCAACTGTTGCTTGAACAGCCGCAGCCCGCGGTTGCCTGGCCAGAGCGGGGTCACTGCCGCGTGACGCTGTTGAGGGAAGCAGGTTTTGGCTGCCGAAGCTGCTCAGCGGCGCAGCAGCCGAAATCAGAGCTGGCCCTTCTGGTGGAGAACGCGCCAAATCGCTCGGTCCCTGAACTTCCTACGAGAAGTGCTCGGGATTGGTAGTGTGCCCCTTTCTGCAGGCGCCCCAGAACTGACAACAGTATTTAACGGCCATTCCTGCCGCTCAGAGTTTGACTTCAGGGGGGTGCTATGCCTGCAGCACAGGGCTTGCGCTGTGTGACGCTGGCATTTTCTAAGAAACTAGCAGTTTCTAAAACAGAAAATTCTGAATCGTGCAAAAAAAAAAAAAAGGTGTCACGTGGTAGCAGGACTTTATACAGTGACATGGCTAGCAATAAAACCTCTAACTGTCACAGTCTCCTGTCTAGTATGTTCAGAACAATATGATTTTGTCTAGACGGAGTTGTCTGAGTACTATGGATTTTTTTCCCAACCTTGATAAATACTGGAATTTTCGCCATGCCCCTGCTCTAGCAGTCTCAGAGCCTGGAGTAAAGAAAGCCGATGGGTTACCTTCTCTAACTTTGCTAGGACGCGCATATCATCGTGCCTATTGCCAGGCAGCTATTACATTAAAACCTCTAGGTTTTCCCTAATCACAATCCACTTTCTCTCACCCTGTGCTTCTCCTGGCTCTGTGCTTTTCACCTGTTGTCTCTCTCTTTACCCTTAGAATATGTTTTTTAGGGCAGATGTCCTTCTGTCATGTACATGAAGGAAGTTGGACAGAAAAGTTGACAGCTCACCACATCCTGTGAGTGAGGACGCGCAGCCTGCCAGGGAGGTCTGGGCTATGAACTGGCACAGCAAGTCATCTCACTGGAAAAAGCCATGCTTCAGAAAAAAAGGGGAAAGACTATGAGAATTATATCTAATGGTTAGTGTCAGCCTGGTGATTCATACTTGCGAGTCACTGGAATTAACATGTATTTTGAAATGAACTTAAAGCCAATGCAAAAGTGCAGATGGTTGGGATAAGAAGTCAATAGCTTCTGAAGTCCAATGTTTCCAAAACTTTAAAAAAATGAAGCTAATGCCTGTAGGTGTGAATCAGGACAGCAGTGGGTATCTGGTGGATATTTGCAGTCCCAGATCACTCCAGCTAATTTTAGTTGATTGCTTGCCCTGTGGCCAGGCCGAACAGCATCCGGCTGTCTGAATTACAATAACTTAAAAAAGGAGTGAATTTTAGAACATCTTTCTTGTTTGTGGGACTGCAGCTCCCTCCTGTGTCAGAGAGCTTCTACTACACTTCACTCACCGCTCTCCACGCACACAGAAACAGCCCTCTCAAAGGCACGGTGCAGAAAAGCGGGTGACGCTATACTCGGAAGTCTCTGAATACCACCAAGTGGCTGAATGGAAGCTTTGATTTTTCAGAAATACCAGCCTGGAACATTTTTCCGATTAGCAGCCACAAAATAAAACTAAAATGTCGAAAGAGGAACTGCAGTTTTTTTTTTTAATAGAATCATTACGAGCATGAGCTCAACAAAAGACTCCCCTCTTCCAAAATACTCAAAAGTCTAACTCTCACTGAAATTCATGCAGTTAATGACACACATATGGAGAAGGAAAATGGCTTGCTTACCACCTTGACGCCCATCTGAAGCAGAAGTGGACCTGCACTACAGGAGACCCGAGCTCCCGATCCGGTCACGAGCTCCTTCCCACTCAACATACAGGTCATGACATGATGTTACTTTTTGCAGATAAGTATATGTCAACATGCTTCCTTTCAAAAAAGATTCACAACTGGGTCGCATTTAGTTATTATTCCTTTGTGAGAGACAGTTTTAGGGCTCATGGAATTTACAACATGGAGCCCCTGTGCTCATATCAATGCCTTTCTTCTGGATTTTGTATGTAACTCCTGGCAAGTCACCTCGCCTCTGGCTGCAAAATAAAGACTGTGCATAGCTACTTCCCCAGGGATGTATCGTGCTGTAGAACAAGGCCTGATCCTGTCACACGAGGAAAAAAAAAAGAAAGAGAGACCTTTTACTTTTGCACCTGAAAATGGCAAGAAAGGCTTTGCATTTCCAAATTGGCATAGGTTATCTGTATGATAATGTCTACTAGTCAGTTATTTCTTTTCTGCTGCTGCTGCAAGCATTCCTCTTGCTGTCCAATCCCAGCCTTGGAAACATTGGAGAAAGGAGATCTTTGTGCAGCAAGAGCTCCGCATGTGGCTGTTGATTGACTGGCGATGAATTCAGCATGTAAAGGTCACAGATGCATGGGTTACATCAGAGCACATCTGGCACCAAAAGCTTCTCTGTTCAGGGACGTGGTGAGGAGATTTGATGAACCGGGCACAGCTGAAGAGCAAACATCTGAAGGGAATGAGAGCCCTAAACATCCTAGGTGGTCTTAGGGAGGGAAAACTGAACAACTGCACCCTTGAAACCCAGAAAATTAATACAGATGGGAGGAAAAACATTTCTTAGCAGAGCCTTTCTAGACACCCGTGCACGTGTGGTCCTGTGCGTAAGCGCCCAGCCTGACCTGCATGGAGATGATTCTCACAGACAGTGCGGACTATCTGAAGTCAGGAATTTGGCTGGGATGTCGAGATGCCTCTGCAAGCACAGCTTCCCAGGCGCTGGGCTGGGCAAGCAGAGGGTTGTGCGGTTAATAGTTTCCAGGCGGCAGGGAGTGCCGCTCGAGGCTCCTCGTGAATGGGGTTCTCATGGGAAGGAGAAAAAAATACATTCAGTTGCCCTCTGGCCTGCGTTTCAGGGGAAGTAAATTAGTGGTACAAGAGGAGGCCGCTTTGCAGAGAGACTTCGAGGTCTGGAAGACATCTCTCTCCCGGATGCTTGGCCACATTCTTCTTGTTTATTATTTTTAGCAGGCAGCAGATTGCCAGGTGTGTCAGAGATGGACAGAAAAATGAGGTACCTGCCCTCATGTGCATGCAGTGTCCTTTTCTGATGTAAGATAACAGCAGAGAAGGGCCAAGGAGAGGGCAGATACAAATCACTATGGTGCTTGCACGCGACTGGTCAGGATGGGCACAAGCAGTGGAGGTGGTCCTGTTTCGTCTCTACCTGTTTATAGTATGTGGCACAAGTCACAGACAAGAACGAGCAGCTAGTGAATCAGTGCCAGTTTTTGGGCACTGCAAGAATGCTCCCTGAAAGCTGCTAGAGAGAAACAAAAAATTTTTAAAAGCATGTCATTCCTTGATATTTGCACAAGTTTCACTTCAACCTTAATTCTGCTTCTATCTGACCGCTCCAGCAGACAAGGCTGCTATTTCCAATATATTGGCAAGGCTGCTATTTCCTGTTTTCCAAGGCCATTTTTTGCAGGAGATCCAGTGAGTTGGGCCCTTTTTGTGCAGCAGTAATTGAGAGTTCAAGCACTGTACTTGCTTGTTGTGTTGACTCTTAGCTCATTTAGCAGGAGGATCATTTAACTGTGCATTAACTTTCCTTTAAATGTGCTGGTTTCATAATTAAGTCTTTACTCTTTTTCCTAGGTATTCACAGTGCTTCTAAAGTGTCTGTTAAGGAAGTTTTACAGGGCCTGAAAGTGGAGAAGAGGGTTCAAAGAGGCCCATCCAAAACCTTCAGTCACCCTGGGCAGAGGGAGAAAGTTAGCAACACTGGAGAAAGTCAGCAACCAAAAAAACTTCAAATGCCAAAGAGGAGAGAATAAAATGGCTAGAAGACAGGCAATTTCTATTGACAATCTCACAAACAAGAGGGATAAAACTCAAATATAAACAATTAGAAAGAAGCATATCTGTCATGTCTGTGGCACTGTCGAAACAAGAATCCATCTGGGAAAAGATCCAGCACTGCCTCCTGTGAGTTATACATTTTTTCTCTTTGAATATTGTATGGCATCCATCTCTATGGCTGTGTGTTGTTTGTGCTGGCATGTGGGTATGTGTTTCTGAAGGCTCCCCATATTAGCAGAAGATTTATAGCCTCATTCTAGGAATTTTGCCGCTATAAACGTATATTTCTCTTTGTGACTGCATGTTTTTCTCTTTTCTCCTGAAACTCTGGAGCAGTATAAAATAGCTTCATAAAACTCATAGGTCTTTTTAAAGCAGAAGTTATGGCCTTGCTTTGCTGTTAAAAATGCATCCTTGATTTTAAAAGCAAACAATACTCCAAACCTTAAACAAGTGAATACTGAAGAGATGCAATAAACCTCTTTTTCATTCGGTTACTTATTGAGAAAAGTCCAATTACACCTAAGGGAAATAAGAATGAAGCGTCATATGGAAATATACAGTACATAAGCAAACAGAGCCTTCTAAAGTGAGCACGCAAATAAGGAAAAATCCTCTCAGCATCATCTCTTTGGTAAATACCCTCTCTTGTGAGCATTGCGGTAGCCACATTGCCAGCCTTGCACAAAACGGCCTTGGCTGCCTCGAGGCGGCACGGCATTTACAGGAGCCTCTCGGTCCCTGGGCCGCCGGCACGTCCGACAGCAGCGCAGCGGCAGAGGTGTCTCAGGGGATGCAGATGGCCACCGAGAAGCAGCACTACGTCTCAGCCCCGCATCTGCTCCCCAGCTCTGCTGTGACCTTGCAGGACAAAGCACTCAACATGCAGCAATGTGACTCACGACCAAGGTCTCCCTGCCTGCAAAGCCAGGCTCTCCTTGCTTGCATCTCCTGAGTGTCCGGCCTCTGAATGAAAGACAAAGTGGCTAGAATGAGTGTATTAGAGCAGCTAAGAAATAGCTGCAGTCCAAGGATGTTTGGAAAACCCCTTTTTTCCAATCAGGCAATTTGCAACTTCTATTGCTAAGTATTCCTCTTTTATTCTTTGGCACTCTAGCTAAGTTGGAATTGGCTTTCTCAGCACTTCAGAAAGGCTTATGTTATATTATGTAAGATTTCACAGCCATCATTTTTCCAAAGGTAATATAGAAATGTCTTTTTTTAATGACAGAAGAGGGAGATTTCTTATTTGGGAAACTGATTCTTTGTTGTTACCAAATGACTGCTTTTGATACATCCTTTATGTAACTTTTATATAATAACTAATTTTTTTCTATGAAAAAATAAAAGAAATTGTGTTGATATTTCTGGTAAATGGAAGTACCTGCTGAAGATACATTCAGTAAATTGAGAAGAAATAAAGTTTCCGTCTGGATCTGGATACATACATATCATGGAATATATTCTTTATATATAACTATCCCTCTGAACACTGCATGCATTCATTTAACTCTGCAGCCAAACAAACTGGTCATTGTGTCTCCAGCAATGGCTTATGCGTCATCCGCTTCGCGCTGCACATGCTATTTTACATAAAGATAACAGATGAAGTCCTTGCACGGCGCTATCACAGATCCAGTGCCAGTCTGTACCAGCTCAGGAACCATCCCAGGCTATACAACCTATTTCTTTTTCTCCATAAGCATTTATTCACCCATTACATACAGCCACAGATAGGCTGAAAATTGACCTCTGCTTAGAGAGAGCATAATGTAAAACAGAAAGAGAAGAAAAAAAAATACCACAGCCAAAAGGTTCCTGTTCAAGTCCACAGCATTAACTATTTAAGGTGGGATTGGTGAGTCCTTCTGATGCCTAAATGAGGGCCAACGTCACTTAATCTCCTGCAGGGACCTGTGCCACCCCCACATGTGCTGCAGGGACTGTGCCACCTCTGCGTGCGCTGCAGGGACCCATGCGAGCTCTGCATGTGCAGAGAGACAGGAGAGGGACAGGAGGAGATGCATGCATCTGTATCGGTGCTCAAATTTCCAAGAAAAATTACAGACTGCAGAATTCGTCTCTGCCTTGACTTGGAATTAATGTTTAAATAAGCAGCACTGTGATGCAGACAAGAACCCCCAACCTCCGCTGGCCCCCAGCATCCTGCCATTAACATACATTTTTCCGCTAACAACATGAGGCCGGTGGCTGACATCCATGACCGGGAGCCACTGTCGGAGGAGATGCATTGGCCTATCAAGGAGGCTTAATGTCATTTGCTGCAGAGCAGAAAGGCAGCCTCAAGGAACAGGCCGGGAAATGGAGGGCCTGTCTCTGGAACCAGACCGCGCGGTCTTTGCGTGTAAGCACACGGCATTGAGCTGCTTCTGTCGAGAGCTGTCTGGATTTGCTGGACAAAGGCAGCCAGACTGGCCCAGGCAAGGACCGTCATAATATTAATTACAGGCAGCAAGAAGAAATGTCACTTTGTCCTCGTGAACTTCTTTAGCAATTTACCAGGAAAAAGCACTCTGCGAGCTGCTAGTTTAGTGGAGGAATTCTCAGGCGGTGATTGAGTGCTTTGATAAGAAGCAGGAGTTTGTTTGCCACTTCATTTACCATGTTGGGCTCTTTCTACAAAGCACGTAATACTGTTTTTACCAGACCGGGTCATAAAGGTAGTAGAAAGCAGATATATACTTGGAAATGACCCTGACCTAACAACGCAGTCCATGGTCTCACTTTCTTTGAATTGCCCTGTGCTTCGTGCATCTGGAAATTGCTCTCGCTGATGGATGATTGCTTGCCAGGGCTGGGGGACGCTGATTGATTTCTTTGCCTCTGCAGCTGGGAGAGCAGAATAGAGAGAAGAGGAGAAGCCTGAAAACCCACACAAGGAACGGGAAGGACAAATCAGTCTCTGAACTGACCACGCAGTGGACTAGCTGGGTAACGTTTTCTAATCATCCCTCTAACTGCAAAGGAGGAGGAAGACCAAGAGTTATGTGATTGCTCATGTGGCTTCACGGGCAGCAGCAGTCAACTAGTCCTCGCTTGCAAACTCCCAGCAGTTCCGGGCCACCAGCAGCCCCGTCCTTTCACAGCCCCCTGTGCGAATCCCTCCTTGCTGTCACAGACATCTGCAAGGCAAATGCAAATGTGGAGTTCATCTATCAGCGTAGACTCTTGCAGAAGTTACCAAAATGCTACTGAAAGTCCTAGGACTAGCACTGATCATTTTGTCAGGGGACCCCACTAGAAAAATCAGATTTTTTTTCCAGAACTGGCTGGTGGAAATGGTACTTAGTTATAGATCCCCTCTACGAGAGGCTAAAGACAAAACTTTGTTTGCCAGCAGTGACAGTAATTTATCTTGTGTGTAACTTTGCTGAAGGTAACATGACATACACTCTAAAAGCAGGTTTTCCTTGCAAAAGAAATCCAACTGTTCTGCACACTGACTGAATTGGGAAGAAGTAATTCTGCAAAGGCTCTCCAATTAACCCTAAGTTGATGCATAAGGCATTTATTAAATCATTCCAAAATGCAAAACAAGCTTATGAGCACTAGCTTCTTGGCTGGTCCAAACTTCCAGAAATCTTCTTCCTATTCTAATTAAAATACTTCATATTTAAATTAGCTAGGGGTACAGGGATCGACATACTAGAGCATAATTTTCTGGAGCCCCATAAATCAAATAAGCAATGCTGCACTAGCTAAAGTTTAGCAGACAGAAACCAGGCATAGTTTTTGCAGAACGCATCAGATTTTGATCTCTCTGTTCACATGAACCATGAAGTTGTGGAGCCTGGAAACACAGCTACACTGTAATTATGATGCTGAACGAAGTATTCTAATCAGACCTTTTTGCTGCATCCAGTCCCCCTTGACCCACCTCGAGTGCTGCTACAATTAAATTGCTTTCCTCATGTATTACCACAAGGAAGAAAGGGAAAGACAATATTCATGTTTTATTTGACTGAGGCTGCACAAAGCTCGTCTGCTTCAGTATTCATTTATTTCTATTGCAAGCACCTTCTTCTGCTTTGAACTTGAACAAGTTTTTTTCTGCTTTGGAATAGAGTAAGCGTGCTAAGTGATTTCTTCATGAGAACTCTAGATTGTGTATTTTAAAAAGAATGAATAGGTTAATACACCATGGCAGAGGTCTTAACTTATTAAAAGAACAGATCCATTTATTTAGAGCAGTGCACTCAGGGATGGCTTCTGCCTTTGTTAAGACACACGCAAAGAAGCCAGAGGGAGCAGTGCCTCTATATTAAAGCAGCTCCAGGAGCTGTGTCCTACGGCTACTTTTTCCAGGGCCTTGGAAGGAAGATATAACCTCATCTTTTGAAGCTGGAGTACTTCACATTATCCGTCTCTCAGCAGCTCTAATTTTCATGGGTTTGATATCAGACAGGACTCGTAAATGAAAGTCCCCAGGCTGAACAAGTGGCCCCCACGCAAGCTCTTGCTGTTACGTGGAAGCTATTCTGGTCCTAATCTGGCACAAATCCAAAGATTTTGGCTGTTCAAGATGAACAGGTCAGAGCCCTAGTGACCAGAAAGCCTCTTTTACCATACAAAGAAATGGCACAACCCTGCGCCACATTGGCACCTACAGTCTGTGGTCCTTTATGGCCACGGCTTGCAGATGACAACTAGTTCATCAGAGTGGCCCCAGAGCTCTTAGCAGTCCCTGAGAGGTTATGCTATGAAAGCTGCCCTACCGTGTCGGTGAGTGAGGCAGAGGAGTCCAGGGTCATCTCTGTCCAACGCGAGCAGCTGGTGCGTCAGGAAAGGAGGCAGGTTTGGAGCAGACCCTTCTCTGGGCACGTGCCCACAGCTTCCCGTGTTGGGGTCCTGCAGGTAGTTCTGGGTATCGTATGTAAAGCCTTGGAGGGATCACAATATGGGAAGCATCTTGGGGGAAAAAAAAAAAAACCACTTAAAAAACTAGCTACCTGATCTATCCATTTGAAACTCTCTTGTTTCAATTCTGTGAGAAGTGGCAATAAGAAAAAAAAAATTCCCGAAAGATTGAAGCTTCTTACAAATTTCTCCCTTGCCCAGCATCTCCTTTGCAAATTGAAGAGTCCTAGTTTAGTTAGGACCTCTTCATGCAGAAGTCTTTCCATAAATCTCATTTGTATTTTTGCCCTTCTCTGCCTCTTTTCCAATTCTATCAGAGCTTTTTCCCTGAGAAAGGGTGACTGGTGGGGCATACAGGATTCAGGACGCAAGTCTCAGCTTGCACACAAACCCATAGCTTATACAGAGTACAGTTAGACGCATAAGCTAACTGCTAATGGTAAAACACTTGCAGAAGGGTTCTGCATCCTATTTTCAGGGCAAAACAATACAGAATAAGCTCCAATTTTTCCAACTGGCACTGGAAAAAAAAATATATATGGCTTTAACTCTGTCCTGGTTTCTTGATTAGATGAAGGCAAATTACATGTTTTTCCACCACTCTGTTATTACTGCTTAAACTCCACACATTTTGCTGAATAGATCTGTTTTGGTCACAGAAGATAAACTTCTTTCTGTGGAAAGATAACAGCACAATTGTGTCCGACATAGCAATTTCTGAGCCATTTCTCCAGAAATAACACTTTTCAGACCAATGGTACAAGGCGTATGTTTAAGGACAGCAAAGCCCGTGCAGCGTGCAAGAGCACTGCCTGATACCATATTTTCCTCCGTTGCAAGGAGGACATCCAACGCCGTTGTTGGTTTTCACACTTTTTCAAGAGTTTGAACTCAGATGGGCAGCAGCCCCCAAAGCACACCTAGCTCAGCCCTCACGTGTGGTGGTGCGGGACAGCTTGAGGCACCTCTCCCAGAGAGGTGAAGGAAAGAGGAAGACAGCAGGATGCCTAAGACCATAGCAGGCAACGGCATCACATTACAGATGACAGCTCGGTCTGGGTGGTCACCCTCCTTTTGCCTCAGTTTTATAGCATTCAGGTTTCTTCTGCCTCAGACGGCTGGAAGAAGACCCCCCATCTGCTCTGATAATGACGTTCCCTTGCATTTCAGTGAGAACAAACCATACGCATAGTGCTTAAAGGGCTCACGTCCTTCGTGCTTTGAGAATGCTTTGGACCATGCAGAAAGATTCTTATATTGGGCAAACTGCATTTTTTCCATGCTAGACTTGAGCACACATCTTCCAGCACTTGCTTTGAAAGCCGCAGAGCTGGCTCACTGAGCACAACCGCACCTCACACAGACGGCCGGCCAACCACTAAAATCAGGTGGTGCCTCGCTTTTTTCGAAGGAGAGCTTCATTGCAAGGCCTTAAATCCGGACCAGGCTTAAACGAAGGAAAGATCCCTGCTGTTAGCATTAAAGAAGATAAAAAGCAGCAGTCTCCTACCTTGACACTGTGAAATAGCTGCTCTACTGACAGCTAACCTAGTTCATAAGAGATAAGAAAAATAACCAGTTCCAAAATTAGGCATGCTTTGTTAGGTGATTTCTGCACCTAGATGAAAAACATACTTTTAAGAGATGTAGTTTGAAGAGTGGCAGGTAGTATATATATTTCATATCTTCTGTTTTGTTATTTCTCTCTGAATGATGCAAAACCAAGTGGGTTCCATTTGCTTTTATACAGCAGTTGTCAAGCTGTTACCCAGAACAGAGCATTTTCTCAGCTCAAGAAAGTACCTGCAGGACAGATGATATATTTACAGGTTATTCAAACCTCTATTTCATTACTTTACCTAGTAATCTGGAAAAAAAAAAAGTTTCTTTTACCTTTCTGCAGTGTGTTCAAATATCATTTGCGTTGCTTACTGGAGCCTTGGAATATTACTAACATTAGTTACTTCAGACAGTCATCATGGTCTCTTCTCTTTTGCAGATTATTTTTCCTTTGCCTAGACATGTTCTAAACAATATATTTCCCCATGGCACTTATTCCTGGAGTTACTCACATGCTGTATTTCTACTACATCCCAACTATCTGCCTTCACCATGTGTCGGGGATGAAACACCTCAAGTAGGTACAAGACCATTAATTCTTTTGTTGTAACTTTTACATCACTGTAAACCTGCTTTGTATTAAGGGGGTTTTGGAACTATTTGACCTTATTTTTATATCTGAAAAAGCCCCAGCTGCCCTCCCCTCACAGCATTTCGTGCCTTAGCCTGCTCGTACCAAACATGCACAGCAGGGCAGGGGCAGGAGGGAGCAGATTTCCAGCTCAAGTGGGCATGAGTGTATTTGCTTAAGCACTGCCAAGAAACCGTGTTCACGTTTTCCAGGGATGTTTCTAAAGGGACCCAGAAATGCTATTGTAATTTGATATATCAACAGCTTCTCCAGTTGAGCACCAGAGCTCTCAGACTGTGTAATCTTGGAGAGGAACGTAGCTGCACTTAATGAGTAAACAGACTTGGTAGCATTAAGGTTTCTGATGTTCACCAATTGCTTTTTCCAGAGCACACCCTTGGTTGGCTTCTTTTAAACAACGGACTTAAGTAATCTCTTTGGTTTTTTCAACCAGCTAAGATCTTGCCCACTTAAGAATACAATAATCCAAAACAGGCTCCAGCTAACCTTAAATGAGAGTATCTGGAATCCTGTCCACAAAAGGCAACTCTGTACTGATTTTGTGAATAATATGTTTTGAACATAATGCACTTAGGAAACCAGCTTCTAGATGAAATCACCCTCAGAAAGTGTCATTTGCAGAGACAGAAGCTGCAGGTGAAGCAATATATGCTGTTTGCAAACTAAATCCAGAAAAAAACCTTAAAACCTTATAGCCAACCTTTCAAAATATAGCAATAAAACATTACTGCCCATCTTCACTTGTGGTATCTCCTTGCCAGCGTGGGGCTGCTACGGCTGAAGCAGGGTAAACTGCATCCCTGGAGGGGTTTGGAGGATGGGCACGCGGGTGCATCCGGCTCCGGTGCACGCTGCTTGGGTGCTCGTGGCTCAGGTGCCTCCGGCTGCCCGCGACAGCCCCCTTCCCACTTCGCCCCCGGACTCTCCCAGCCAGCTTAGCCCTGAGGCCAGTGCTTGTAAAACACCACTCCCTCCGGAGGGTTTATTTTTATCTTTAGTATCAGCCTTATCAGGCTGTAGGGGCTTATTGGGACTTATTTTTATCTTTACTGTTAGCTCTTTTAGCCTAATGGGCTCCATCTGAGACCCAGCAGACCCAGGTTCAGCCCTGACTGTGCCATGGGTGCATGCTGGGACTTGGCCCCGTCACCGAGCGCCTGCTGTCTGGACAGGTATCAGGTGTCTGTCTTCCCCCGAGACACTATCAGGGGCTCCAGACGTGACAGAAAGGCCATGCTGCCAACAATTTTTTTTCCCTGCTTCCCCTCATTTTTCCCCACTGTGAAGTACACCGACCTCACCAGGCTGTGTCCTGCAACCGTCACATTTTCCTTCCACGGGGCCAGAGGCTCCAGGTCACAGAGGTGCTGCGGTTTTGCTGCTCTCAGAAAGCTGTATTAAAATATTGAATGCAAATCTCAGCCATCAGCCCCCTCCGCATCCCCTACGGATGATTCTGTAAACAGCATCTTCCAGCTGTCCTGGGAACAGTGAAACGTTTCCCGAGTGTGTCAGCATTTACTGAAATGCTTTTATCTCTTCACCAAACTAGGAAGAGCTGCTGTATGTCCTGAAAAACCTCTTGTGGCATTTTAATTAAAGTCTCCAAGCAAAAATCTTTTTGCTCTTTCTGCCAGCCTCCTTCCCCCTAACTCTCTGTTTTCCATTTTTATTGGATTGATTTCCAGGCTGACCATATCTGACAATTGGACATTGCAATTACAATGATTTTTCCTCCTCTTTAATTGAGAGGCTATGATGAGAAAACACCCACAGCATGTGCCAAGGGCCCAGGAGATCTCCCAGGGGCCTGGGCATCGCTGTGCACAGAGGGTACCGTCTAGCCAGCATGCACAGTCATTAATGTTTCTCCTTATAAATATTCTACTCAAAAGGTGTTTTTCCACAATTAATGGCCAAGATAACCTTTCAGGGCGTCTCACCAATCATGCTTTGCAGATGAGCGTTCCCTGGGGTGCAGGACCCCGCTTTGCTTGTCATCTGCAGAGCGTCTGGCCTGATTTTGGTTTTGTTCCCAGCCAGGGCGAGCCATGGCAGCAGCGCCAGTGCAGACGAAGCTGGGGCTTCCTGCACGTGAAAAGCTCCTGCAGCGCTGCTCCTGCAAGCCAGTTGGTTTTATTTCTCCTGCATGGAAACTAATTTATTATTTTACATTACTCTCTCAAGCCATGGAGTGTCTCTTCCTGCATTTAAAATAGGAAAAGAACCCCACCCCTCCCTCTGCAAAATTCAGATGCAGGTTTAGCTCTCCCAGCCTCACTGCATGGCTCAGAGGATTGGGAGGCTTGGCTGAACCCATTATAATGAGCAAAGCTATCTCTGTTTAAATACCAGCTAATAAAAGATGCCTATACCAGGACTGTAACCATACTGACACTTGATTAATTGTACTACAGCATAGTACACCTAACAGCACTAAAATAAATATACAAACATTCAAAAGGAAGTAATTAACTCCAAAACTCAGCCAGGTGTTAAACCAGCTATGGAAAGAGAGCTGCTATCCTAGCTCCTGCAAAAGAAACAACATTTGCAAGTTTTCTGCAAGATTTTTCTGTTTTGAACCTCGCTATAGAGAAGCAAAATTCACAGTCCATGTTTGGAACTGGAATCTGGATTTACAGATTTCTGAATCTTAAGACTAGTCTAAGAGAAATGCAGCTCTGTACTGTAACTTTTCCACGCTCAGCAAGGATGCTGCTGGCTCATTGCGATCCTGGACGCCTGCCTCCTCCCCGTTATGCTTCCTACGTCTCCTGCGTGCTGCAGTGGCCGGCTCTGACGAGATCCAAGCGGAAGGAGCTCTCAGGAGCAAACGTCCACCTCGGGTGAAGTGCTTTGCTGACCATTTTGCAAGTGCTGAATGGGGATCACAGAGTCACTTAGTGAAATGTAGCAGGGGTGGGATCAGCAAAACAAAGCACTGCCTCTGGGGACATACTCTGCAAACGATACATCTTCTTGCTAACATAACATGGAGTATGCAGTCAGTTATCAAGGATGCAAAAATAAGGCATTACGCTGTGTCACATGGTACCAAGCAAGTCAGTAGAAAGCCACTTTATTTTCAGATAATACCCGCAGAAAAGTCAGAAGCACTGGCTGCTCCAGGAAACCGTTATCTTGCAAAAGAAGCTGCACTTCTCGATGAACCGGGAAGCCTCTCCAAACGAGGAGGAAACGATCCCAGGCTCCTTGCCGCCTGCCAAACTCACTGTGGGAGAGCAGAATGGACTCTCTCTGCACTTCATCTTGGTTCATCTATGCAATAGCAAATGCTTCTGCAGCCATGTTGCAAAATGCCTCCTACCCCCGCAACAGTCCTTAGGAAACTGCCGGGGATTAGCACTGGGAACAGGCAAAATCCAGCTCTGCCCATTCTCCTAAGCCCAGGGGTTTTCTCATCCTCTTCTAGACTGGCTGGGTACTGTGAACGGCAAGCTGCAAAGCTCTCAAGGTGAGAGGATCTTCCTCACCTCTAACTTTGGAAGTGAGCTAGGAAAGGATGTTTGGCCCATTAGTGAATACTATGCTAGCAATATTGGATGTCAGTGCCCACTTTAAGAGTTAACAAGTTTTTCAGTACTTCAGAGCAAGAAACTCCTGCCATGAACCACGGAGAAGCTGGGAATCCAAGCTTTCCAGAGCCGTTCCACCACGCTGACTCACAGAGCCCAGTGTCACATTATCCAGATCACTGGTGTACACAGAGTGGCCTCTGCTGATAGGAGCCACTTGGCCATTGCCTTATACCTAGGGTCTGTGCTTCTGAGCTCTCCGTGCTTTAAGTCTGCCAGCAACAGCAAAATCCTCAAGCAGCTCGCTCTGACTCTGAATTTCTTGGCTTTTGTCAGTTATTTGTGTGCCAGCTCTGCTGTTATGTTAATGTGCTTAGAAGGGTTTCTCTCAGCGGGCAGCGCTGCTCTGAGGGCTTTCCTAATGGGGATCAATGGGGCAGAAAGATGACACGGCGCCAGCGCTCAGCAGCACGCACTCCTCCAAGAGACTCTGGTGGCCAACCTTGACATTCAGGTAAACTTCTTCCCCCCCAAGAAATGGGGAAAATAATGCTATGACCAGAAATTCTAGGTTAATTCACTAGTGTCTCCTTAGATCAAGGATGAGTATGTCACAAGGTCATTTCTTTTCATCTATTAACTGCTGTTGAGATGCAGAATTGCCAGGCAGTGCAGAAAAAGCTAGTCTGTTGGCAGTGAAGCAGACATTGCTTCGTTTAATTTTTTTGAAGTGTTTTGAAGTGTTTTAAAGTGTTTTTACAGTCTTGTCCCTTCTGCACGATGCCCCGTGTCTGCCTGCACCTTGCGGGGCATGCAGAGACTCCCCAGTGCAAGCTCCTGGCCTCTGAGCACCATGGCCAACGCCAGGGCTGCTCACAGCAGGCCACTGCCATCAGGGCAAACGACAGATTGCTGCTAATCCAATTTGCATCCTGACTGAAGGGCGCTATTAAAATATAAACATTTGTATATAAAAGATAGATACTAAAGCTTCTTTGGTATTTCCAAACTTTTCCCTAGGAGAATTTTTTTGATGTTTCACCGCGTCATCCTTAAAACGAGGGGAATGCGTGGAGAATCGCTATTGGCACCACAAGACCAACTAACGAATTTGCTAAGACTGGGCCTGAGACGTTAAAACAAATGTATGGCAGCTATGAGCCACTTAACAGGCCCAGGTCCCTCCTCTCCCCAGAGCTTCAAAAGAGACGCCCATCTTTTCGGGGAACATGACAGACATCAGCCAGGACTAATACAGCCTCAGCAAAGAGGAGCACAGCCCTGCCACCGAAGGCTTTGATGCATCTGAGCTGGTGAAAGGAGAATGGAAGAAGAGGAGGAAGATGTGAAAGGAACATGTCAAAGGCCTAGGGCAATGAGGCAGGTCAGAGGGAGTAACAAGAACCACAGCCTGAACTGCTTATTGATAACATGCAGAAAGCAGCTCAGCACTTCACCAAGACAGAAAACCAGAGGCAGATTTGCACAGGAGGGTTTTCTCCCCCACCCTTTATCACTGAGACTTCTGCCAGCTCTGAGTGTCCTGCTCTGACAGCGCTGGACCCACTAGCGTGGGCTGGCGGCGTGGCCAAGAGACAATTAGGGATTAGTGAGACACCAACGCAGGCAGGTGAGATCAGAGCTGCTTGTCTGACATTTCTCCCCCTCCACCCCCTGTTTTCCAGCCAGGCCAAGATGCAAACGTGCCTCCGATTATCGACTTGCAGAAACCTCTGACATTCTGGGGAGGACCAAGCCACCAGCCCTTTCTTGCAGCATCACCCTGTGATTGCTCCCGCTTTGCAAAGAGGACATCAGTGAACCATGCCAGCCTGCAAGCTCCCACCTGCCGGCCGAACCTCAGCCCTCAACAGCATCAATGAACGACGCCAATAACATTGAGGGCGGGCTGCGTGGGGCAGGAAAAGTCGCCCATTTTGCATTTGCACATCGGCATTATGCCAGGGCTCCACTCTGGTGTTGACAGAGTACGCATTGCAGATGTTAGCAAATTGCTGGTCGTGCCCACGGCTGTTCCTTGCAGGAGCTGCTCCTCAATCATGGGGCTACATCAGCAGGACAGGCTGTTTGCGTTCAACCATTTCCAGCTCGGAAATGAGACCCTGCGAGCGTGACAAGGACGGGTACAATCATTGCAAAGAACTGTCAGACATGAACAGGAGGGAAATCAAGAGTCCTTCCACATGCATACTCTGCAAAGAAAGTAAATAGCAAAATAAACAACAGAGTCAAACACCCAGAGCATATTTAGTTTTCCTCTCTCAGGCACTTGCTATTTTCACCATGGTAGTGAGGGGAAAAAAAAGAATATTTCTGAAAACAAACAAAACCAAACAAGATCTGGGTAATGGTAAAACTCAAGGCTGATATTTTCTCCCCAACATATTTAATAATCCAAAGGCAGAAGGAAGCAACAGGGCTGGGCATTCAAGAACATTTCTCACTCTTCAATTTTAGATCTTAAAAAAAACTAATATGGTGACTAGTGAACATTATTTTCATTTTACAGAGAGGCAGAGACAGCTCCAGCAAGATGTCAGCTGAGGAGGAGATGGAAGGCGAGGGCAAGTCCTTGTTTAAATATGAACAACACAAGGGAACAAGCTAATGCATTACAGGTACGGAGGAGAAACTCGTGAGACATACATGGGGTGACTGTTTCAATCTGGTGGATATACAGTTTAAAACTCTCATTCAGTGAATGTTCTTCTCCCCAAAAGCATAAATTATCCTACACTTCAGTGAAGTCACAATAGCATTAAATCAATGAGAAAAGAGTCAGACTTGAAAACTATCCTATAGCTCATGAAAACACTGGTTCATATGGAAGCAAACTACAGTATCAAATTCTATTGTGCAACAGAAAATTTGAGTCTCTTTGCGGGAGATGGATTGCATCTTGGAGGCTGCTCCAGAACTTAGTCAGGTTTTCATTTTATTGCATCTGCTGAGAAAATACAGCTGAGCTTTTATTACCCAGGAAACCCTTTCTCTAGCACATATAATAGTTTATTGAAAAAAATGACTCATTCAGTTTAATAATGAGAGGACACTTGTGTAGCCACCCCTATTAATTCCAGGCCAGCCTGCTCACATCTCGGAGCCTGTGCTGATTCGGCGCTGGCCGTCTGCAGGCTCGCCAGCGTGCATGCATAATTACTGTGGCAATGCTACTGCATCCATGGTAAGTATCTTCCTGAAAAGCCACCAAAGCAAAAGGGAGCTCAGAGGAGATCTTTCCATCAAGCCAACACAGGTAAATCTAAAGGCCGCTGGTAAGCCAGGCGATGGTCCATGTGAAACAGCTGCATTAAACCTGCCTTTCCTCCCAGGCACAGAGGGCAGGAGGATAATTAAGGAAAACGTCTAAAAGAGCATATGATATTAGATTTTTTACTATATCCAGCATAGTAGGGAAGCAGCAGTGGTCACCACTTCACTCCTCCTGTTCTGCTGGATAAAAGAAGCTGCTTTCCAGGCTTGGCTTTCTGGTCTCTGAACTGGAAATTTGCTTAGTAAGAAGAAAAGATGCTGGGGAGGGGCAAGGAGGCTATTTTGATAAATATCAGCAACCCCTGGAAAAAATCCAAACGCTTGTGTGGAGAGCGATGTTGAGGTCCTACAGCGCAAAGTATCAAGAGAACTGTCCTGATATTATCATGCGTGTCAGGCTTGCTCACATTTAGCAGATTACTTCGGAATTTGCATTCAGGCAACGTGAGTTGAAATAGCAATCAAACTTGATCAGCCTAATATATAAGGTGATTTGCATAATTTCCTATTTGCATGGGGCTCCTATTTAACTTTTTTTTTTTCCTTGGATGATCAAACGTACCTACTTCCAGATGAAACACTTCAAGTTTAGAGGATTAACCTGCCTGTGCAGAGCAACAACACTTGACTGCTTGTTATCTGCACAATACGATTCCGCATCTCAGCATTCCCTATTCCTTGTCACAGGGAATTGCATCTCCACTTTCAGGGATTTTAGAAAGAAGTCTCTTAATGATGCTTGCCCTAGAGCCTCCATGCAAAGCTTTTCTCCCCCTGTTTTAGTGGCTGGGCCACATGCAGAGGTAGATGAGGATTTTGTAGATCATGGAAAGCTCGCCTACTTTCATCCAGAGATCCGCAGCTGGACTTACAAGGCTGCCTATTACCACAGGGATGCAGTTATGCATCTCCTAATCATAGAGATGGAGGTGGTTTATCTTTGCCAACATTTCAACTCCCTCTCATATGGGCAGGAATGGAATTCAAACCTGTATCCAAAGGAAAACACTTACTGGGAAAAGAGCAGCTCTGTAGCAAGTCTGAATGACAAAAAGTCTTAGGAGGAACACATTAAATGACTGCATTGGTAATTAAGTTTAGCACTGGCTCTGCTAGTTTTTTGAAGGCCACAGAAGAGCTGTGTTACCCCATCTGCCTCAGTTTCCCCATATCAAGTGCTAGGATGGCAACATTGGCTGACATTACAGACAGTGCAAGAAAAGGGGCATTGCTAAGTGTAATTAACATCAGGTTGCAAAATGTTTTGAGCTGAGTCGCTCAGCCAGTGGGCTCTGAGGGACCCCCAAGGCATCGCTAGAGAACTTGCCATCTCCAGCTGTTTCTGCCACCTGCCCCGTTCCCCGATCAACACAACGTGGATCAACATGGATCGGCCCAAAGCGTATTGCTCACTGGAGGAGGGGGAACACCTCAAACCCCAGCAGTTTGTGGCTCGCATGTCAGCGACGCGCAGCGCGTGTCCCCACCAGCTGCCCCATCGATCCCCGCTCGAGTGACAGAGACGAAACGGCTCTTTGTCTAACAGGAATTAATATTTAATGCAGGCTTCTTCACACCTGCCATGCGGGCCAGACAGCCTGCGTCTTCCTTCACAGGCAGAAAAGAGTACATTGATCTGTTGCTAAAAATAGGAACTCCACGTTAAAGAGACAACAGCCATCAGCTCCCCAAGCAACGCAGGAAAAGGGTTTCTGCGTCTGCTGTTGCCTGGCAGAGGTCCACACTATTTTTCTGGTGTAAGGGGCTTTTCATGTATCACCAAAGAACAGAGCTGCTATTTTTAGCTCTAATAAGCATATTTAATTTCCTGCTGCCTCATTTCAACTGTTTTGAGCAACTAGCATTTCTGAACACGTCCCAGGGCACATGGGAGAGGGCCAGTCCAGCATTGGTCATAAGGTGTTCAAAGCCAGGCTGAACTCAGCATTTTGAAGCTGGACCCTATTTTCTAGCAAACTGAAGCAGCGATATTCTGCTGGTAACCCACCAAACTCCAGGATTCAGCAAGAAAAGAAGAAATGGAAATGCTCAAACGTCAAATCTCCTGCCGAAGCTCCTCCTGAGTGCTCGTGCAACACATCATGTGAGCCTGGTCCAGCACCCCCTTGCCTCACGCCAGCTTGATCATGTCTCATCTCCAACAGAGACTGCAGGCTCCTCTGACACAGAGACCATCAAACACAGCCTAGATTGCTATCTGGGGCACTGAGGCACTCCAGGTATGCGAATAACTAATCAACAAAACAAAGATCACTCATTTAAAGGCATTCAAATTGCAGAGTAAGGTCCAAATTCTGCTACTCAGCATCATTTCCAGTTTAAAAAGAGCTGCATTAAGTATATGAAAAGTAGAGTCTCCAATGGGTGATCCAGTTGGCTCATTTTTGGGTCCTCATTTATTGCTTCACAAAGAGGTGAGCAGACTGATGTAAAATGCTTCCTTTGCAATTTGCAAATTATTTTGGTATAAACACTCATACGGGTTGCAACACAAGACTTAGCAATAGAGGTCCCTTCTCTTATCTTCAGTCTTTCTCTTAAAAGAAAAAAAAGTTGTCTGTGCAGGAAAAGGAGGAATTTGCATGGAGATACAGCACATGCTATAACATATATAGCAAGATGCAAGAAATACACTTGCCCCTGTGAGGCAGCACCTGCTCCTTTAAAGCAGCTAACAAGGAAAGAAAAGCTCAGGAGCGCTCAGAAACCAACAGGCCCCTCTTTTCTGGCAATCTCAGAGCAAGGTCATTTGATAAAGGCTTAGAGAGTTACACTGCAAATTGTTCCCTCAGATTAATTCAAAGGGGAGTTGAAGCTTTTTGTTTCTTTTCTTGCCTCTGCTGTGTTTTTCCTTTTGTTTTGCAAAGAGCATATGCAATGTCTACTGCAGTAATCTGCTTTTCTAGCCCAGGAGGGAGGAAAAAGAATTTTTAAAAATGGGATTTCAAAGGAAAAGGAGCAATTTTGTTTAAAAACAAAGCCAGAGCAACAAGCAAGCAGGGTAGCATAAGTTGCAGCTTCTGGAGTCGCTTCACCTCTTGCAGCAGATGGGCTGAGGGACCACAGCAAGCCCCACATCATTGGCAGCATTTTCCCAAGAGATGCTTTTGCCATTTTTCCTGCTCCTGCACAGAAAGGCTTAGCAAATGAATGGAGAATGAACACCTTTAACACTTATTTAACTAAAAAAATTTTCCAGCAACAAGAAATGTAGTGTGCCACCTTCAGAGAAAGAGGCAGAAAGGCGCTGGGCACAGAATGAAAAATGCATCTGCCCTGTATTTGTGGAGATTGCCGTTCCTAGCTTTTTTCTCAGCAAAGCTGTGACTGCAACGCTATAGCAGCCTTTGACTTATGTATTCCAGGACACAGACTGGCAGAGCATTAACAACTATAAAAGTTTCTAAGATGGAAAGAGAGGAAAAAGTCCTAATCCAATCCCAAATCCTGAGGGAGCGAAACATTCATAAGGTTTGACACATTCATCAGAGCAAGGAAAATTAAAAACAAAACCTTATTGCATTCAAAAGAGCCAGTGAGAAAAATAACATAGACATCATGTGTTGTGCAGTTTTCCTAGCTGGTTCTGAAAATCATGGCGCAACAGTGACTGTGCCACAAGAGCTGCTGTTAACCCTTCCTGCACAGCCCATTGTACCAGGCACACGGAGACTGTGTCTCTTGTGCCCTGTAGGGACTTCAGGGGAACAGAAAGGAAGGTTAGCAGAAAATGGGTTAATCAGCGTTTTCAACACATGGATGCTTCTTGTGTCTGTTTTCAGAAAAATCAATTTCTCTGCAGGGTGGTGTGGGATTATTGACAGCGTGATACTCCCCGACAAATAAAGCAGACACAGGGGACCGCAGGTAGCCAATGTCTGAATGGGTTTGGTTGATGGAGGAGTTGAGAAGGCATATTAAATATGGTCAAGGAGAGAGGAGGCTGCTGTGTGTGTTCATATGAGGTATTAGCACA